TGTGTGTGTGTGTGTGTGTCCTTGTCAACAGAATGGTCCTCCTCTGTTTTGGGTAAGACTCAACTTTAGGAAAGGAAACCTGACAAAGGGCAGAGGTATCTACTTAGCCCGTCAGATCAACCAAACCAAGTTTAAAGCCTGAAATGACAGATCCATTTATTCAGCAAACATTTCCTGAGTCTTACTGTGAGCGAGGCACTATCGTAGGTGCTAAGGATACACAATGAACAGAATCAACTAAATTCCACCCTGCAAGGAACTGACTGCCCAAAGGAGGGAAATGGATGAAAAACAAAAATAGATATGAGGTTTGGGGAGAGGTGCAGTTTTACACAGGGTGGCCAGGAGAAGTTTTTCTGATGTCATTTGATGTTGATAAAGTGACATTATTGATGACTAGTTTGTCATTATGGTCAAAATGATAGCCAGATGTATGCTCTGTCTCTTTCTTTACAATGAATTCAAGAGTGATACCTCTCAGAACAAGGAAAGAAGTAGTGTCCTGATTTCCCAAATTTGCATAATAATCAGTAAAAGGAGTTGAAGATATGCAAATTATTATTTATTTTTCTTCTTCATCTAAAGTGTTTTTATGTTGATGACCAGAAATGGTAGAACAGTTTGATTATTCTCTTCACAATGGATGTCTTTGTAAATTTATGGTTCTCTATTAAATCCTTCAAGATAACAAAGCTGAAAGTTTAATTTAATTCATAAAAAGACTACAGTATTTGGTTCAGTTGCTAGAGAACATGGTACATATACACATCATATATAATAAACATACATATATACATGCATATATACACATACACACATGTACACACATATTTATGTGCACACGTGCACACACACACACAGATATAACTGAGTTCCTCTAATTATGTGGACAAATAAAACATAGATTTTCCCTTTGTCCATAGATTAAATGCTTCCCCAAGTCAGCTAGCCTACAGATGGTGCATTTGTGTGCATATGTGTGGTCTGATTTATAATTAATATGTGAGGGTCACTCTTCATTGAAGACCATGTTCATTCCTCTCTACCTCACTGGGCTCTTTAGCATATTGGCTTTTGTCTCATCTAAAGAAGGCTTGAAAGTAAAAACCAGTGGAATTATTATTTACGTCATGTTCTCTTATATTCCTTTCCAGGAGTTGATTTTCAAATGAAAACCCTCATTGTAGATGGGGAGCGAACAGTACTGCAGCTTTGGGATACGGCTGGTCAGGAGAGGCAAGTGCTCTTCATGATGCTGTCGGCTCTGCTTACGCCCACACAGACAAGCTTTGTAGGATGCTTGGTGTTTTTGATGCTCATAATTATATAGTTATACTATATAATTGTATTGTATATTAGAATTTCAAGAACGCTCACTTTCCGCCACATCCTTCCCTCCTACACTTATCTATCAGTTGTATGAGAAGAGGATCTTACATTTCCATTGAGCTGGTGTTCCGTTGGGGAAAAGGGAGTGCCCTTTCCTAACTAGAGTTTAGATAAGACAGCACCCCTGAATGCAGTGACAGTGAGGAGCATCCGAGCTGGGGCACAAGAAAAGATGGCAAAAAGCACCTGTCAGCTCTGCTTGGATCAAGTGTAGAGGCACAAACTAAATAACAGATTCGCACCGGGTGACGGTATCTTATGTTGCATTCATTACCGATGATGAGAAGCATGAAGCATACATTTTAGTTTTGTCTAACTGTTCAGTAAGTAAATAGGGGGTGCTGCCTACCTCTGTACCAGGCGCCATCCAGCCTGCTAAGATTCAACAGTGAACGGACACAAATACCTGCCCATATGGAGCTCATATTCTGTAGCAGACTGGGAGTTCCAGCCTTTAAACAATATTTGTGGTTGACACTTGAAACCTATATAATTTACTAACCAATGCCACCCCAATAAATTTAATAAAAAATATTTGTGTTTGATATGGCTCTGTTTAAGATACTACAAAATAGTGCATTGGGTTTAGTGTTAGGACCTTCATGGCGAGGTCTGCTCTTCCCCTAGTGAACGCCCACCCTGTGCATGTAGAGCTTCTTGTGCATTGTGGTGTTCCACAGTGTTAGTTCTTCTCCCACCCACAGTTCTCCCTACCCACTACTCACGACCTCAAAACAACTTTTCTCTAATGTGCACCATCTTCCAGCCCTCTCTGTGTCCCACACATGGGTTCTGGGTAGCTTGTTGCCAAGGTTGAAATTTTTGGAAATTGTGCCCTTAACCTTGTCCTGGTTATGCTTTGGGGTTTGTAGACAATCCATGGGATTGTTTGGTGGAGCAAATGATTGGCTTTTTTAAATCAGTAGCCCAGATTCTTATCCTATTACCTTTCAATGGTTCATTCTAGGATTCAGAGATGGGTATTTCACAGTGATATGTTGCCATCAGATTCTTCTTAATTAGGGCTTATTTGAGAAGATGAGGAAAAGGCGCGCATAAAAGATGAAGAATGAGGCAGCACCAAACTGACTAGTTAGAACCGTTACTTAAATGCTTTTCTCTTTTCCAGATTCAGAAGTATTGCCAAGTCTTACTTCAGAAAAGCAGATGGTGTTTTGCTGCTGTATGATGTTACATGTGAGAAAAGCTTTCTTAATGTACGAGAATGGGTAGATATGATTGAGGTAAGAAATCAAAACAGAAACATAAAATTATATGGGGGAGTTATAGACCATCTTAGAAAATGCAGGTGCTCTTCATCAAAGTGAACGTGATGAGAAACCATTTATCCAAGGTGTCATGGACAACTGGTTGTTAGAGGCAAGTTCTCAAAGGTACTTGGCAGTATTGGTCTCTCAGTAGCTGGGCAAGTTCTCACAAAGCCAAGGACATGACTAACAGAAGCTTCTGAGAGTGAAACTTCTGGGTTTTCTTACAGATAAAATCAGAACTCTGTTAGAAACAAATGAAAATGCAGGTAACCTGAGAAGCAGCAGCTCTTACAAACAAGAGGGTAGTGTGGCTGGGCGTGTAGCATGGTTGGATATGTATAGGGACTTCCGTGTGCTCTAGAAGTACAGGTGAAACACCACCTGGTATGAGCAAGTGCATGGCTGAGGTTCTGTAACAACTGTGTTCTCATCTTTATTCTGGTACTGATTTGGTCTTTATACATTTCAAGGTACCACTGAAATACTAATTAGTATTTTTTATTTTTATTAAAAAATAGATAACATACAATATTATATTAGTTTCAGGTGTACACCATTGTTATTCAACATTTATGTACCTAAAGAAGTGATCACCATGATAAGTTCAGCAACCATCTGACACTGTACCATGCTATCACTATATTATTGACTATATTCCCCATGCTGTACATTACATCCCCATGACTTATTTGTTTTATACCTGTAAATTTGGACAGCATATTCCCCTTTACCTTTTCCCCCCTTTAAATTTTTCAATTAGAGTTGACATTCAGTATTATTTTATATTAATTTTAGATGTACAGCATAGTGGTTAGACATTTATACTTGTATAATTTAAGAAATGCTCCCCTGACTAGCCCACCTGGCACTATACATAGCTATTACCATATTATTGACTATATTCCCTATGCTTTACATTCCCATAACTATTTTTTAACTACCAATTTGTACTTCTTAATCCCTTTACTTTCTTTCACCCTACCCCCCCAACACCCCTCCCATCTATCACCCTAACAAATCTAGTATCCATCTGACACCATACATACTTAGTACCATATTATTGACTATATTCCTTATGCTATACCCTACATCCACATGACTACTTTGTAACAATCAATTTGTACTTCTAAATCTCTTCCCCTTTTTCACTCACCCCCCAAACTCCCTCCCACCTGGCAACCATCAAAATGTTCTCCGTATCTAAGAGTTTGTTTCTGTTTTGTTTGTAAATTTGTTCTTTAGATTCCACATATTAGCAAAATCACATTGCATTTGTCTTTCTCTGACATACAACACTCAGCACAACACCCTCCAGGTCCATCCATGCCACCGCTGATGGCAAGAAGTGTTTCTACTACCTTATCTTCTAAATCACTGATTTGATTCTCTGCTTCATCTAATCTGTTGATTCCCTCTAATGTATTTTTCATTTCATTTATTGTATTCTTTATTTCTGAGTGGCTCTTTTTAATGTTTTCTATCTCCATTTTTATGTTTCCTATTTCTTTGTTGAAGTTCTCACTGAGATCATTGAGCATCCCTATAACCTGTGCTTTGAACTCTGGTAGATTGCTTATATCTGTTTTGTTTAGTTCCTTTTCTGGAGCTTTGTTCTGTTCTTTCATTTGGGACATGTTTCTTTGTCTCCCCATTTTGGCTTCCACCCTGTGTTTGTTTCTATGTATTAGGTAGAGCTGCTGTGTCTCCTGGTCTTAGTAGAGTGGCCTTATGTAGTAGGTGTCCTGTGGGGCCCAGTGGCGCAGTCTTTCTGGTCACTAGAGCTGGGTGCTCCAGGCATGCCCCTTGTGTGGGTTGTGTGTGCCCTCCTATTGTAGTTGAGCCTTATTTGCTGTTTACACTTCAATAGGAGGGATTGATCCAGGCTGATTGGTTGTAAGGACTGGCTGTGACTATAGTGGAGGAGCTGCTGTACAGGGACTGACCTTACGGAGCAGGATTTGCTTTAGCAGGGCTCTGGTGTCTGCCCAGTATGTTCTTTGGATGTGTTGTCATTGTAGGCAGCTGAGTAATGCTCTGGCTTGGTCCGAAGTTGGCCACCAGGTGTACTAGCCCCTGGGAAGTGCCCTGCTGCAGTCCAAGTTCAGGGGCAGCCTGTGCCCTGCCCTGGGTCACCAGCTGTGAGCCACAAAGTAATCTGCAGATGGCCACCACCTAAGCTGGGCTTGGGGCTGCTCAGCAAGAGGTACAGGATAGCTGAAGCCAGATGCTGCTTGTTTGCATTTTGTGAGCCTTTGAGAGATTTTAGGAATGTCTGCAGCATGAGCCAAGATAGGCCATTTGAATGGAAAGACCACCTGAAGTGGCTTGGGTGTGCCTGAAAGTTGGGTGGAGTGGGGTTTCAGGGAATCACCAGGGGGTGGGGGTGGGGTGTGAATGAATGGTGTTAGCCCGGTTGATGGGGACTCAGAAATGGTGCCTGCCAGTGTCTGCATGTGGGGTGTAAGGAACGCTCAACAAAGAAACAATGGATTCTACCAGCACTTCTGTCTGGGAAAAAGCTGCCCCTCCAGTTCTCACCTTGACGTCAGACAGCTTAGTTCCTTCCTGTATGTCCCTGGTGCATTTCAAGCTGCTGCCCCAGCACTGGAGCTCAGAGTGAGTGAGTGAGTCTGTCAGCATGTAAATCTGTGCGCTTGCCCTTTAAGAGGATCACCTTGTACTCCAGCCATCCTCCATCTCACCCAGCCACAATCTCCGCTGCTTTTCATAGCCAGAAGCTATGAGGACTTCTCTTTCTGGCCCTGGAAACCTTGGCTGAAGAGCTGCTCCTCTGCGGGGTGGGGGACATCTGCAGCCGAGATGTCCTTCCCAATTTTTTTTTTT